GGGCGCTGCTGGCTGCCGTGCCCGCTCCCAGCCCTCGGCGAGATTGGGCCGGGGGCAGCCCCCGGGACCTCATTTCACCCTGGCTGGAGCTCCGGCTGCACTGCTGTCCAAGGAGTGCCCTTTGATATGAAGTACCTTGCTAGAGTCACAGCAATAACAATTTAGTATTTCGTTGACATCATGTCCTAATTTGGACAGTGCGGAAATCAGGAATTCTAGCTTATTTAGCTGCCTGTTCCCATTGTTGTCTTGTGACCTTGGGCACCGTTTATCTTCTCATCTGTAAAATGGAGATAAGAGTATAAATCCCCTCATTTGAAAAAAAAGAAACCAACAAAACACCACCTTCAGAGGACTGTTTTGGGAAAGAAACATATGCATCAGGGTTAAATATCACTGCAGTGGACTAGGAAGAATTGCTGTCACAGGGATGTTTGTTTCTCCTGCGAGGCCTAAAAAAAAAAATTGCACAACTAGATTGCAGTTTAAAAAAAAACAACCTCCAGTCCTTCAAAGAATCATCATAGTTTGGCTATCCTGTTGCTTGACTGTTGCCCTAATGCCTTATTGCGTCCATCTTATTCTGCTGCCGTGGCTTCTGTGCAACTGTAAAATTTTCAATGTTGGCATTGTCTTTGCCAGTCCATTTATGTCACTCTCTATCATAATGGCTCACTGCTTAGGATTATGACGAGCAGTGGTGGGTACAAGAAGTTTTGAAAGGCGGTATTTTTAAAATACTCAGTATATTCTGCAGACTCTCAAAACGGTAAGAAATGGGTTAAATCCAGAGAAATATAGATTTTATATCCTGCCACATAGAAACAAGTAATTTGCATTTGAAAATTGCCGTAACTTAGGAAAGCAAGTTTAAAAAGAGGGGGGAGGTGGAACTTGCAGGGGCTAAGGTACATTAACTGCATACGTCTGGAGGGTAAAAACGTCACTAGCTAACGTATGTGGTATGTTTGGCAGTGTGCGCAGTATGAGAGGTGGTTTTTCTTCCTAGATAGCAGTGCTTCATGTTACAGCGCACAGCTGGCATTCCTAAATAATTTGTTAGCTAAAGCTGCTTGTTTACAGATAATGAAATACTGGTTATCTGTAATATAGATCATACGCCTGATGAAAAATCCATGTTTCTAGCTGAAGGCATGTAGTTGTCTAGAGGCAAAGAACATGATTCTTTGCCTCTGCAGTGCTTGCATAAAAGATTGAAGACTACTGTGAGAAAGATGGTGTCTCTCAAGAACTGAAGCCTTTTGTAGAGGCCCGTTGGGTTTGCCTACCGTTATCTGGTAAAACAGAGGCATTCGAAAACAAGGCTTTTTGTGGTAATGAAATGTGATGTGGTTGGGGTTTTTTTTAAAAAAAACCACAAACCAACCAAGTTTCTACTTGGTTGTTCAGACTGTACAGTAGGATGTAAGTGCCTTAAAATAACTTTTTAAATTCTTTCAGAGATAATGAATTTTTTTTAAGTGCATGCCTTCTGATAGTCCTTAGTGAATTTGTAGATTACCTCATTGTAGATTTCCAGCTCAGTTTTATGCAAAGGAAGATTTGATTATTTTTGCCTGTTTCCAGTCCCCCTGTGTTTTTTTCCAATGCAGCTACGAGGGTGTTGAAGACATTACAGAGTGGAGGGAAGGGACCTTTTTTCTTCCTTTTTTTCAATCGGTTATTTGGAATATGGAGCCGATGACTCTCTCGTTATTAGCATAGTTCTTTCATATTCTTCCCTGTTCTCCCTCCTACCTCGAAATATGTCTTCTGGAATTTGGAACGGCCCCAGCTTTGCTTGCTTAGAATGGCAGGGTCTATGGGACACGATTTTGAAATGTAAGGTGCAATTGTAAATAAAGCCGTGTGGAAAACTTAAGGAAACTAGATTTTAGGAATATAGCGTACCTGCATCTTTTGAAGTTACCCTCCAGAGGAAAACGCGAAAGAAATGGTTTCCCAGATATTCCAAATAGTATAAAAGATGGACTAGGGGTGAGGGGGGATCAGAGTAAGCATTTCTTTTGTCGCTCGGTCCATGAAGTCAATGAGATGAGTCATTGCAGTCGCTGTGTTTTCATGATTTTTGCATTATGTATATATTTTTCTTAAGAAGGAGTTTTGGGTTGTAAACTAATGAAAATAATTTCCAGGGCTTTCCTTATCGTAGAGAATTTGGCTATTCCAAGTAAATTGGAATTTTGCATTTTAAAAGAATGTACTTTTACAACTCTAGGCTTTTTTTCACTTACAAATGGTGACTTCTCATTATACTTCTTGTTACTACTTTTTAATTATTGATTCTTCTCATAATACTGCTTCTTGCTCCTCCACGAATATTATTATGTTTTCCTTAAAATAAGCTAAGCTTTTGGTGATTACAGAGTTACTTTAGAAATTTTGTGCCAGGGTTTAAGTGGGGACAAAAGTCCTTACTTGGGGACAAGCACTGGATTGCTTGGAAGAATTATTTGTATTTTTGTCTCCCTCTCATCAGTTTTTCTGGACCCAAATATTTTAATTTCATTATTTTAATACAAAATCTCTTGTCTTGAAGGAGAGGGTTTATAGGAAGCGGAGTTTAGGCTCGGGATCTTGGCTATCTTAAGTGATAAAGACTTCTTGGGAAGAGCAACTATCCTAAGAAATGACCTACTAGATTGAGACCGTGGTCCGTGAAGTATCAGTTTAATACTGTGTTGAGCAGAACTTGATACTGATAATACAGGTCTTGATCCTCCTGTGCCGTTTTTGCCCTAATCAAACACAGAAGTCTGCAGCTGTCTATAAAGAGATGTGTCTTTCAGTGTACTTGGACAGCAATTTGTGTCTGTTTTGGATTGGAAAAGTTTAAAAAAAACCAGCCAACCAAACCAAAACCCCAAACCAACCACGTCTGTTGCTGATCACCCATAAGATAATATTGTCTTTGGTCCACACTTTCCCTGATCTTGGCTACTGTGGGATTGGGGAGAACAGGTAGTTAATGTAGGAACAAACAAGAAAGGTCGGGAGTTCTGTGGTTCAAAATCAAGATTGTTATTTGTTTGAGGTGGGGAGTGCAGTACTAGATCAGAAGATAATGCCTTCCTCCTTGTATTGTTGATCTGTCCTTTCACATTTCTGTGAATATGCTCAATAATAATAATACTCATGTGTGCAGCACACAACAAGACATTGTATTAGCCTAAAAAAAAAAAAAGCATAGTCTTGCGTGAACTCATAGGTAATTCCATGCATCATCAGTGCTTTGCAAAGTGAAGAGTCATGCCCATTTTGAGGTGTGGGGTATTAGCCTGTCTTTGTTAGCCTTGGTTAGCCTGACTTTATAGACAAAAGGCTATAAAGCACTGAAGTAGCTCCTTAATCTCAGGAACAAGATTTTGCAATTATAATAGTTAGGTGAACACGTTAGCTCAGTACTCTGTAATGGTCAAAGAAAAGCATATGGGAAAAAAATAGGTAAGCAGAAGAAAATTATGATTATGCACCTCTGTCTTAGTTGTTTTGTGACCCTCAAAGAGGGTGGTACGGAACTGGAAAAGGTATGGATAACTGAAATGGGGAATACTTAGAGGTAAATAAAAATTACTTCTATACAAAGAATGACAAGAGTTTTTGAACTTTGAAAAGAGTTAAGGGAAAGTGGAGTAGGGTACAAGTCTATGAAATCCTGAACATCGTGGAGAAAGTGAGTACAAAATTATTGTTTACCGTTTCTTTCCAAACAAAAACTAGCAGACCACAAGTTAAAAATTTAGGCTTTTAAGAGTGGGGATCAGGACAAACAGCAGGTGATGTACTTCATGCGATCCTAAACCATGAGGTAATGCAGAAAAGAGAAAGCAAAATTCTGAAAGCAGAGAGACTCGGCACTATGTCTAAAAAGTGTTACGTGTCTCCTTTTGCCAATTCCCGTTTCACTGTAGTTCCTAAGTTGTTTGGCTGTCAGAGTGTGTATCTTCTTCACTCAGTGTTTCTTTTTAAGAATGTCATTTTTTCCTGACGTATGTTTCAAGTTTGAAAGTGAACAGGTAAGCCAGTTTTTCAGTCGCTTGATTCCTGAAACAAGAATTTAATGAAATTTTTAAAGTTTTTTTGAGAGGACAAGTTCTTGATTCCTGATAATCTGCCCCCCTACTGGATAAAATCATGTGGTGTCAAAATACATCTGGAATATGTTGAGATTTAGGGAAGTTGTAATCTGTTTCCAAGGCATCAGAGGAGGTGATCTGAATTCCTAGCATTTCTTAGCTTGGCAGAGATACATGCCACAGCTGTAAACATTCATTATGAGCACTTCCACCACAAACTGCAAGTGGAAAGACACCCTTCAGAAGATACACTCGATTGTTGTTTTTTTAGTGGGATAGCACCAGTTTTGGCTTCCTGTGCTGCAGTGTCTAATAGCTTTCTCTTAAACTGCTAGTCCGTTGGAGACAATCTGTAAGATTTCAGAAGAATTTTTAGATGATCGTGGCTGAAAGTACTTGATATATCTCTGGATGTTTGACATTGAGTAGTAGTTTGTCAATATTTGTTTTGTTTCAGTCTTGACAAAGGAAATGCATCTTAAAAATATTTTGACCAATGTTTTAAATTCTTCCGGTTTTAGGAACTGATATTGCTGCCGGAGAGGAGGTTGCAATTAAGTTGGAATGTGTGAAAACCAAACATCCTCAGCTCCACATCGAGAGTAAAATCTACAAAATGATGCAGGGTGGAGGCAAGCAAATTATTTTTCTTCTTCAGAGATGTAACTGTTTTTTTATGTCTTTGATGTATCTGCCACCTGGAAGTATTTAATGGTTAAGATCTCTTTTGACATATAAGGAGAAGGTGGGAAAAGGTGGGCAGGGTAGGTGAAGAGCTACTTCAGCTCTTCTGCGAGCAATGTAGAGTAGCAGTTCCAAATCCACGGCTACCAAACTTCATGATAACCGCTGAGATCCTCCAATGCTGCGCACGGTCCCAGAATATTAGAATGTGAAAACCTTGAGGAACATGGAACAAAATTTGGTCCTGTCTGGCAGTATACTGATTGACTTTTGTTTCTCACCGGTCGATGAAAGACGGTAACCGCTGCTCTGGAGCATTTAAACGGACTTGCTTATTATAGTAGCACAATTCTAAACTTAGTAAATTCAAGTTAATTTTTGTTATATATGCTAGTATTCTTTCTTCTGAGTTAAAAATATTTCCTTGCTGTCGGAATTCTAAGGCAAAATAGCATTAGTGGTAGAGAACAGGAGTGAAGCAACTTCGTAGCTACTGTGTGGTACTCTACTAGGATAACTTAGCCGTATATTTTGGAATTCTCCAAAAGTAAGATTCCCATGCAGTTCTGGGACATAAACTCAGTGTAGTTAAGTTTTGCTTTTGTTTCATAGTCCCTTGAATTCTTCATAAATGAGGCTATACTTTGCATAAAGACTACGTTCCACGCTGTATCTCAAATGCAAAATACAGTAATTGTACATCTAGAAATGGATGATAATTTGCATTTAGTGTATTTGCATTGAGTTACTTTTTAATTCCTGCCTCATTCAGTTGACGCCTGTGTGTAACCTGAATAGCCTTCTTAAAGTGCTTCCTTTATGGGCCTACTAAGCCCGTGATGGTGGTTTCTTTCTGAGGATGGATGCTGTGGAGGCAGGTGGCAGAAGGTTAAGTTTCCATGTGAATAAGGGTTTCGCTGTGAAGGGAATTCAGGAAAAAAATAATGCATATCAAGTAAAGGTAAGAGTTTAAAATGGGTGAATTATACTATTTCACTTCTATTGTGCTTTAACCCAGCAGGTGGCTCAACCAACCATGCAGCCGTTCGCTCGCTTCCCCCCCCGCCTCAGTGGGATGGGGGAGAGGATTGAGAGGGGGGAAGAAAAAAGCAAAACTCATGAGTTGAGACAGCTTAACATTACAGAAAAGAAAGAGAACAATAATAATAACGATGATAAAAGAGTATCTGAAACAAGCGATGCACAGCATAATTGCTCGCCGCTCGCAGACCGCTAGTTCCAGAGCTGCGGACCCCGCCCCCATCCAGCTTTCCCCAAGTTATATACTGTGCATGACGTCATATGCTATGGAATATCCCTTTGGCCAGTTGGGGTCAGCTGTCCTGGCTGTGTCCCCTCCCAGCTTCTTGTGCATCCCCAGCCTCCTCACTGGTGGGGCAGTATGAGAAGCCGAGAAGTCCTTAACTTGGTGTAAATGTTGCCTAGCAACAATCAAAACATCAGTGTGTTATCAAGCTTATTCTCATCCTAAATCCAAAACGCAGCGCTATACCAGCTACTGGGAAGAAAATTAACTCTATCCCAGCCACAACCAGGGCAACTTCCAAAATCCATAAAATTAACTCAAACGCATTTGAAAGTCTGAATAAGGCTCCCTACATACAGGTTTAATTAAAAATATTTGACCGATTTTACAGTTTTGTGTGAAATAACTTTCTTGAGTTTGTCCACAAAGTGGGGCTAATTTTAGCTCTTTCAAGCTGAACGTATAACGCGTCTCATAAACAATGCTACTTTGGTAGAGGTTCACCAAACAGCAAATACAATGGGACTGGAGAAAAGACAAGAGTATGAAGCAAGCGTGAAAATTCATTGCAAATTGAAATGCAAGAGAGCTATTGTACGGTGATCTTGCAGGCTTTGAATCTAAGAAGTTAATTTCTAAGGCCTGCTTCAGTAATAATATTTAGCGGCTTGTCAGTGTCTTTATTTTCAGACTTCCCGTTTGCTCCTTATTGCCATCTTGGAGACTACACAAGTATTAATACTTGTAAAATGCTTAAGGTTCAAATCCAGCAGAAACGCTGAATGCTTTCAAGTTACAAGCTAAGCACAAAGATGGGGAGGTTTCTGGGGAAGAGCAAAAAGGCTATTTTTAGACCACTGTTGCTATAATTTAATATTGGTTCTGCTGTGAAATTATGAAACTTTTCATTTCAGAATGGCTGAAGGTAGCATAAAGTATTAAGCTTCACTGTAAATACAGTCATTCACAGTAGTGACCCTCTTAGAATTCATCTAAAGAGCCTGGAAGATTTGTGTGTATGAACTGTATAAATCAAATCATTATGCTGAATAAATTGTCTCCTTTTTTCTAGTGGGTATTCCCACAATTAAGTGGTGTGGAGCTGAAGGGGACTACAACGTAATGGTGATGGAGCTGTTGGGACCCAGTCTGGAAGATCTCTTCAATTTTTGTTCCAGGAAATTTAGTCTCAAGACAGTCCTATTACTCGCTGACCAAATGGTAGGAAACTGCTTTGTTGATCTTGATGGTACAGTATGTTAGGATATTAGAATTTCCCAATTAAATTGAGAGCTAATAACCAACTATGTTTTATTTCTGTAATTTAGAGGTGAATAGGCTGTATCATTAGAGAAAAAACTCAGAATTAGTTTTGTTTCTGTAAATATAAAATGTCCCATCCAAAGTAATTACAAAGTCTTAATTTGATTTTTAAAAACCTGGACCTGTGCTGTTTGCAAGCGAGGTGTTGCACTGCTCAAAGACAAAGAAATTCCCCCAAGAAAGTTTTGGAAACGAATGTAAAATAGACACAGATAAACCTCTCCAGCACTTTCCCTGTTACCTTCTAAATTATGTTCTCTTTAATGCTCTTACCCTTTACAATAAAAAGTTTCTTTACCTCTTTTATCATTAAGACAGTGTTGCTAGTGTTTTTATAATAAAAAGGGTGTGTGCCTAGTCTCTTGACGATTATTTTTTTTTTCTCTGTATTTAGATTAGTCGAATTGAATATATTCACTCTAAGAACTTCATCCACCGAGACGTGAAGCCAGATAACTTCTTAATGGGCCTGGGGAAGAAAGGCAATCTTGTCTACATAATAGACTTTGGATTAGCAAAGAAGTATCGAGATGCTCGAACTCACCAACATATTCCATATCGTGAAAATAAAAACTTAACAGGAACTGCCCGTTACGCATCCATCAACACTCATCTTGGAATTGGTGAGCTGGGGAAAGCAATAAATAAACGTTTTAAAAGTGTCGATGCACATGGTTTTAGTGCAAGTAGATGTTGCTTTATGGAGGCATAGAAGACAGTCCCTGTTTCTGGCACTAACAGTGCAGCATGCTTGGCCTCGTATCTCTTGATTGGGTGGGATTTGGTTTGTAATTCTCAGGAATGGCACTTTTTTTAGTAACTGCAAGAGTGATAGGCTTTTTCTTGTACTGGATGAGTTTATCATGGGCATAGTAACTCTGAGCTATCTCTTGTTTTTCTAAGGGTTTTTATGACAGTCTTGTTGCACAGTCTTTTGTTTTTTCAGTAGAAAATGAAACCTAATGAGTCCACTTTTTTATGCTGTTGTAGAGCAATCTCGCAGAGATGACTTGGAGTCCTTGGGCTATGTACTGATGTATTTTAACCTGGGCTCCCTCCCCTGGCAGGGACTGAAAGCAGCAACAAAGAGGCAGAAATACGAACGTATCAGTGAAAAGAAAATGTCTACACCCATTGAGGTTTTGTGTAAAGGATATCCTTGTAAGTTACTCTTTTGTGGCCCTAGGCTTACATGTTCACGTTTTAGTAGTATTTCTTTTTTCTTTACACTGAATTCTACCAGTCTTTTTTACTTCTCGCGCTCCCCACCCCTTGGACACGTCTGTGATAAAGATACTGTGCTTTCAAGACTGGGATCTTAGTGTTCATAGACCATTTCTAGTTATCCGGTTATCCCTTGTCTTAACTATTAGTAAACAATCATTGTGGTGCCATCGAGTTGAAGGGTGGCTTGGTACGTCTGATTAGCAGGGTATTGAACATGCATGTGTCTATGCTGGCTGCATAACTCTAACAGACAAATAGCTTTTTTGAGAAACTACCCGTTTCTTCATACGTGTGGGTACTGTTTATTGGATGAATCGGGTTGTATAGTCAGATGCACCTGTTATTGCAGTTGTTTCACTTGGGAATTGTCATTCCAGGTTCATCTGGTTTGGCATGTTGATGGTCAGCGTCTGTGAGAGGCATAAGAAACCCTCCTATATCCTAGCATCATGCCTCAAAGCTGTTCTGTTTATCAGTTTGGTATTTACACCACAGTAATAACTAAGCAGTTTTGAGCCTTGCAAAATAGTACTTAAATCTGTTTTAAAACTTGTTAACATTAGCTGCCATCAGAGAATATTGTTGATCTTTCATTAAGAGTTCTGTCTATTCTTTCCGTGCTCTTGGCTTCGGTGGCTAGATACGATAACGAGAACTATAGTTTTTGTTAGGGTTGCATGAAAACTTACTGTCTTTGATCTGTTTTAAATGTCACTTGATACGTGTTCCTTTACATTCATTAACTATGTTTTTTCTCTGGGCTTAACAGGCAGGGAAGACTAATCAACGTTTCTTGTGCTGTTTGTTAGTATTTCTTTCTTAATGTAAATTATTAATAGTTCAGCAAGAAACACTTGAACTCAAAAGCTGGTATTTTGATACTGCTAGTATCGCTAGCATATTAAATTCACAACTATATTCATTTTTTTGCTGTGTAACTAATATTTCGTGTGCCATATTAAAAAAAGGTGTTTGGATTATTGCAAAACTAAGAGAGTAGCTTTACTTACACAAGAAATTTGTATGAGTCCCTTAGTTTTTGCGTGTTTTGTGAGGTGGCAGAGATGAATCTTTATGTGACTTAACAACAAAGATATGTTATTTGGTGTCCCGCAAGAAATTGCATTTAAATACCATCAAAGCAAAGAAAGGCCAAAAAAATCTCCTTTCTTTGCTCGACTGTGGTTTTAAACCTGTCCTCCCCCCGAACTGTTGGTTAAAGAACTCTAGTATTGGGTCCTCTCTGCTGTTGACAAATGAGATCTTTGCCTCCTCTGTGATAGACAAATAATTTTGTTTTCAGGTTGACTTGATAGATGGGCTATGGTGTTGCCTTCAGTAGATTTCTAGTATTAGGTCATTGTTCTTATGTTTAGGAGATTCCCTGTTTGTTGGGTTTGGGGTGGTTGGGGTTGGGTTTTTTTATTCAGAACTATAAAAAGCAAATGTGAAGCTGAAGGACAAAAACAGGCTTTCTTTTATTACAGCTGAATTTGCCACATACTTGAATTTCTGCCGTTCTTTGCGTTTTGATGATAAACCGGACTATTCCTATCTAAGGCAATTATTCAGAAACCTCTTCCACCGACAAGGGTTCTCCTATGACTATGTGTTTGACTGGAACATGCTGAAATTTGTGAGTAGCTGGCATAGCTTTCTAAAACTTTTTCTTTTTCTTTTTCTTTTTTTTTTTGCTGTTTTTTTTTTTTTTGTTTTTACTACATTGTTAGTTTTGAGTATCTTAACTGATACTGTGAGATTGTCTTGCCTTTTTCCTCTTGGAAGCTCTGTCGTCTAGAAAAAAAGATCAGGAAATGAAGAAAAGCAGGAGATACAGGAGCCATAAGATGGGAGTTGAATGACAACTAGGTTGAAGTTACAGGGTTTTAAACGTGTAAGGCTTCTGAGATACTTCCTTCAGGGCAGTCACCAGGCTGGATTGCAGAATTACTGTTTTCACCCATCTTGATCTTCAGCACAGGTTGTTTGCAACTGTCGAGGAGGTGTCCAGCCGCCATAACAGTATGTGCGTACATTAGCATTTTGGAGACTATCCCACCAGTTCTATGAACAGAATTTATGGCAGTTCTCAAGAAATTTTACCAAAATAATTAATGCCCTAGCAAACTTCAATTCATGGGTTGTCCCTTTTTTTATTTTCAGTATTTTTATCTAAATATATAGTTGTTTGCTCCATAATCCCCCAAGTTGTTCACTAGTCTTGACCCGTAGGGTGCAAGCAGAGCAGCTGAAGATGCTGAACGTGAAAGGCGAGAACGAGAGGAAAGATTGAGACATACACGAAATCCGGCTGTGCGTGGATTACCCTCCACTGCTTCTGGCAGGCTGAGAGGAACGCAAGATGTAGCTCCTCCTACTCCTCTTACCCCAACTTCACATGCTGGTAAGTAAGCAAGTACCTGGATAGATGCACCTTGTAGACTACTCAAATTTGCAGTTTGTTCCTGGTCATTGGAAATTTGAAATAAGAATTAGGATACCTGAGTGGTATTTGTCTCTGGTCAGGGTTTGGGGTTTTTTGATTGGTTTCTTTCCCCCTTTTCAGTAGGTTGAAGGTAATTGCATGCAGTCATTACCTGCCCATTGCTACTTTTATTTCTGTGAACGTAAAACAAAGGCCTGGATATCTCTTGTTTGACTCTGTGGAAGTTTTGTATGCTAACGGCGAGAATGTAGTTTTTCCGGTGAACATGTTGTAATCCCACTTCTCGTTACGAGAATCTAATGTGTTTTTTCTCACAGCCAACACCTCTCCTCGGCCCGTATCTGGTATGGAACGAGAAAGGAAAGTGAGTATGAGATTGCATCGTGGTGCCCCAGTCAATATCTCGTCGTCTGACTTAACAGGCCGACAAGATACCTCTCGCATGTCAACTTCGCAGGTAAAATAGATGTCTGTGTAATGGAAAAATGAGGGCAATTTGATAAAGTTAATTTGCCAAAAGAACATACCAGCTAATTGATGTGATTTCGTACTGATTTTGCAGATGATGTTGACTCGTATAAATACTTGACACTTTAACTGAATGTTTGTGATGTGGCTGTAAACTACTGTAAAGAAAAAAAATTATTTTTGTTTTTACCTTGGCAGTAATAAGCATAAAGTACTCAATACAGAGTCATTGGTGTATGAGATGATGCAAAATCCTAGAGATACAGCATTTTTACCTACAATTATGGTGTTTAGCTCCTTTGCTCATTTAATTTCTTACTCTGCTTCCTCACTGATAACAGATAGAAGTTAGAGGCAGTTTTGAGTCATGTTTCCAAATCAACAGAGCAGAGAATATTGGTGCAGAATAGACAAGAAATAGTTGGTGAAGAACAGAAGAGTGCAAAAGTGAAGAAATGTTGTACTGCAGTACTGCAATTTAGAGCAGATGATAAGCCACATACGTGGAAGATTTGTAGGTCACAGAAGGCTCATTTGAAGAGGATGGCAGGAGGATGAATGATAAGAGTGGTTCATAGCCACGGTCGGCACCGAAATCATCCTCATTGGTCACAGCGACTTAGCAAAGAAGTTTTAAGGAATTCTTCTTTTTAAGACTGACTAACAATGTTTAAATATATTTTCAACTCTTTATGCTATAGCTGAAACATTCCTTTTTCACGGTATTCGCACAGACTTGTCCTCAGTAGTGTGTGGCCTGGCTTTGTACAGCTTACCTTCAGTCTTACCTACAGAATGCGGAATTGTCTGTACGGTAGGCATACTGTGACGTTACTGGGAGATCAGTCTGTTACAAGGACTGGTGCAGTCGCCGTGGGGTTTTTCCATCACGCCTCAACGCTGTGCTGGAGTTCTAAGTGCATAATATTTGCCATGTACTTGTTGTATTCCTCGTTGACAGAGCATATTGATGAAAATTAACTCAATTCCTTTTGGCTTCATCTTTTAATTGGCAGAATTAATTATTTTGTATACTACGTGTTCTTACATATAAAAATCTTACTGCTAGAGGGAACGCTCTTTTAGATGGAGACCAGGTGGGTATCTCTAATGAAGACCGAGGGTGAACCGGATTGGAGAAACAGTTCTGCCATAACAAAAGCGAAGTGGGATTTTTTTGGATTAGTTTTCAGATGAATGAATAATTTCAACATGTAGCTGCACAAATGTTTGTGCTTGCACAAGGGATGAACAGTTCGGGAGCAGAAATGACGAGAGTAGGAGACAGGTGAGATTTTCTGTATTGGCTTTGGTGGCAATTTTTGCCAGCTTAAATTGTTCGCTGAACCTCAATTCTTGCTGCCAGAAATTCTCACGTCGAAGTATTTTATGCTGAAGTTTGTTAACAGTATGAAAACAAAGCGGGCAGAACTGTGCTTAGGTATGGATCTTGTAAATATGCCTAAATACCTTATAGAAGGATGTAAAGAAGGTGCAGCTAGACTCTTCTCAGTGATACCCAGTGAATGGACAATGGGCACAAATTGAAATGTAATAAATTCCATTTAGACATAAGAAAAAAAAATTTACTGTGAGAGTGGGCAAGGACTGGAACAGTTTGCCCTAAGAGCTTGTGGAGTCTCCCTCTTTCAAATTACTTGGAACCCAGTGGGACTTTGTCCTGAGGTGGCCTGCTCTAGAAGACTGTGCTTCAGGTAGTGGGATTGGACTAGATGATCTCCAGGGGTCCCTTCTGACCTCCTCTGTTCTGAGGGGCTGTGATGCCGAGTTCCCCCTGAACTTTTACTCAAAGTGTAAAGATGGTTTCCTGGTAAAGTGTGTATGCTCGGGGTTTGTCTCTGGAGTTCTGAGCAAATCTCATATGCGTTGTCGCTATTACCAGTCAGACAAATAATTAATGGGAGTAACAGAAATAAGTGCAGTGATGCTACTTGACTATGTTAGGAGAGAGTATATCTTTAATTTTTTTGCTTTATTATGGACATGTAGCTCAGTGTACGTGTGATGCTTTTCTAAACGTTGTAAGGTACAAGTAATCCAGGTGGGTTTGCAGATACGTTTTGGTTCTGCCTAACTTGTAAAATGGGAATACTCTGAGATTGTGTAGGATGGTGGGTTTTTTTGCGTAGTCTTTGAATATCCAGATGTATAATTTGTGGTGTAGGCCAACAGTACAGTCTGGCTTAATGGCACATTTCCGTACCTGCCCTTTTTAACACTCTGTTCCGAGAACAGAATCACTCGGTTGACTTCTTTACAATCCCAATAGCTGCCTAGTCGGGATCTTCTCCGAGTTCGTTAGAATTAATTATTCATCATCTGTTGTCTTCATTTAGTTCTTATCAAGGCAGCAAACCACTGCTGGTCTCCACTCATGATGACTGAGTAACAGTGTGTGACTGTAGTATAATTTAAACAGCTTCCCGTGGGCCTCTCAGATTTGGAAGGCAGGAGAGATTTACTTAGACTACCTTGTAACACTTCCCCTTGAGCTCGTTAGAGAAAATTTGCTTCTCGTTTTCCCGGTTCTTGCTTACTCCGTAGCAGGCAAGATGGCTCAAGTTGCACGTTTTCATAGCTTATGCTCTTACTGTCTTCATAACGTTAAAGTGGTTCTTCCATAATCAGAATTTATCCTTAGATGTTAACCAGGTTACCAATTAAGGCCATGGGTTTCCCATTATCTTTATATCTTGTTCTTAGCCAGGAAAACCTGAAGTATTCCACTTGCATGACAAGGTTAATAAGGAGAATTTTGATTGGCTAGGTGTAAGAGTATAGAAAATCATCCATACCACTTCTTATGAGGAGAACAGTAAAGAACAACAACTGTTTGTCCATGCCCGTTCCAAGTGTGTTAGTTTCCTTTGTCTTAAGTAAATATGTTCAGGAAGTGCTTAGATCATACTCCTGGTAGAAAGCAGTTTTTAAAGTTTGCTATGCAGATCTACAGATGTCTTATGTTAAGAACAACATTTGTTAGAGTTGTTATTTATAACTTGATAAATTAGCTTTGTTATTTTATTTGGATGCCTTGGTTTGGTAAGGCAACATTGAGTCTGTAATCTCCATCATCTAGAGGAAGGGCTGCTGCTTGTTAAACTCTGGGCAATGGAAATGTGCAGAGGTTACTCAAAGAAATAATGAAAGCTACTTACCTCTGAGTAGAGTTCTTAAAGATGACTTGACATTTTTATCTTTCTTTTTTCCAAAATGAGTTCCGATCAGCTCAGACTGAAACTGAAAACTAAGGCTGGGAATGTGGATAATATGAACCAAAATTCTCTTACGGAAAAACAGATCATCTCAGAGAAATTTAATACTCATGGGAAATCGGTAATTGGTAAGGATAGCAAAATAGGTGTCATGTATATTCCCCACCTCCAAGGTATTGTCCACATAGTACCTAAATCATTCTCACTGTAAAGACTAGCTCTTCATAATGCTAAGCAACAAGTGTTTATTGGAGCAACAGCTAGCATGTTAACGAAACAGTTTGTGAAACTTAAGTGTTTCTAATGAAATGACATAAATTCTATGGCACACGTTCAGTATTTTTCTGAATTATATGGAAGTGAATGCAACAGCTAAAAACCTGCAAGTTGTGAGATGTTTGACAGCGATAAACATTAGTAAGAGCTGAAGCAGTCAAGTAAAGCCTATTCAAATAAAGTGTGTATTACTGCAGTACTCCTGATTAGGATGAAGGAGTGGAGCCCATTGTCTTATGTATGGGAACTATATCTCTGGTAAGCAATGGCATAATGTTGGGAGAGGTTAGTGTGATGTCATAATGAAAGGGCATAATTTCATCCTTGAATCTTATGTATGATACAGTAATGAACAGAAATGGAGAGGTTATTTCATGTCATTAATGAGACGGATGCTGGAATATTATACTTAGTTCAGTTCTCAGTATCTTAAATTGTTGGAAAACTGTAAGTAACACAGAGAAGAGCCATAAAAATTGAGCTTTGGAGAACAGATTGTACAATGCAAGAGTTTCAAATCAGTGTCTTTCAGTTTGTCTGAAAGAGAAGAGCTCATCTTGAGTTTGTTGTTGTAGTATTTTGGAAACAATGGTTTTAACAGGAACTGACATTTATGCAGAAAACATATGTGAAGAACCTCTTGCTTAAAATTAAAATTACTCACATTTAAAGAAAAGCGAAACAGAGGTCTAAGTGAAGGCACTTAGCCACTGAAACAACTTCTAAAACAAGTAGATCGTATGTCCCCTTTGCATCAAAACTGGATTCATTTCTAGGTGGTGTATTCAGGTCTAAAGCAAGCCTAAATTACGGGTCTCTGTGCAGTGAAGGCTTGGGATCTATGCTGGGCAGAAAATCATACCAGCTGTTAAAAGATCCTTCTGCTCGTAAACTCTGTGAATGAATTGTTTGCTAAAGTCTCCTTTACGTAGTCACTCTTTAAATGTTAAGAAACGTGGTAAAGGAGGTCTTGAGTATTCCAGTAAATGCTACTTTGAGTCAGTTCTGTCAGTCATCCCAAAAGCAGTGATCATCTCAAGAGTCTACTTATGGGTGAGTAGCCTTCATTTCCTTTCACAGAAGATTCGATCTGACTGCTCATGGTATACAGTAAGTTGTTTAATTTTTTTTTTCCCTGAATGTAGCATGTTCAGCACCCAACAGTCAAAGCTGTGCATAATTCCTACTGGTAATAGAGGTATTATCTCTGTAGTTAGAAGAAAAGATTGGAATGCTGCACAAAGAAATATTTGATTAAGTTTCTTTGACGGGAGAAATTTTTGGAAGACTGTAGCCAACGCTGGCACTGAACACTCAAGCGTTGTGCTGCTTCCCTGGGGAAAAAAGCAACATACTTCCAATACCTCTGCATTTTCCATCTCCTCATGAGCAAATCTTTCTCCATATATCCATCTTAATAGGCATCATGTTCTGCGTTGTTCTTCTGACTCTGTCAGCTTTCTTTGAGGGATGATGATTTGTTCCTTTTACCTAGCTCTTAATATGATAGAAATGTCTTACAGAGGTCTGAAATCAGAGCTCCTCAAAAGATACATTTGCTACTGCAAGTTTAGGTTGGATATTTGTTAGACATCTTTATATATTGGGGCAGTGGAACTGTTACAAATTGCTGTCTTTTCCCCTACCTCAGAATAGCATTCCTTTCGAACACCATGGCAAGTAGCTGCTCGTCTCCTTTCGTTGGAAGGCAGCACTGGGTGAGTGCTTCTCGTTAGACACCAAAACTTTGGATGGGGTGGGGAAAAAAAAAATCTTTGGAAACATCCGACTTTGCTTCTTCTCCTCACGTTATCTCGTAGTTGTACCTGTGTCTTCCAGTCAGATGCTTGACGAAGCATTGTTTTTTCTCTAACTTAAAAGTAAATGTCCTTCCAAAAGTTGAATTATTGCTGCTGTTCCACTTGGACTCTTAAGCAGAATTGACAAAAATAATGACTTTAAAAGTCCCTAAAATCGTTCAAGCGTCAACAATAAACCAAAATAACCAAGTCTAAATTTTAGCTGTTTGAGAATTACGTGTCTTTCCAGGGATGTTCATGCAGCGGTGTGTCATCCATTCAAAATCAGATCTGCTTCAGAATCGTAAAACCAAAATACTTGTGTGAAGATGCAATTGACTATATTACTCAAATGAGGCTCTCTGTCTTGTCGTGAATGGAATGTTCTACTACAGCCGTATCCATTTTTCACTGGTTTATATTCTTCTCCATTCCTCATGAGCTGTCATTTTAAAAATGTTCAGATCTATATTTAAAAATGTTCACGTACTAATGAGAATAGTTGGAACATGAGCATCTTGGAGGTAGACAGACTTGGATTTGGGTATTTAGAACTCCTTTCCACTGTTCAGTGCAGTAAAACTTTCTGCCTTTCTGTGTGCGGCTTTTGGCTTTTTAGTCTGTTCTGCTTTTGGCAATAACAGGTTTCATCAGGGAAGTAACAAGTTTCAGTTGGAATCTGAACCTTGATGGCTGAAGGATGCCTTCTTAAGTATTTCAGGAGCTTCTTTGCTTTGCTTCTTATTAAAAAAGGCTGTGAGATTTTTCTGTTCCTTAATAAATTCTGTTGTATAACTCCGTCTGCTGCCTCACTTTCTCTATAAAGCCTAAGCTTGCACTCATACTGTATCACTAGTTGGTGAAGAATCCTGCTATTCCTCTTCAGTTTTCTCCTCCCGCTTTGTGTGCTTGGCTGACTGTGCACAAGCTGCTTCGTAACCAGTTTGTAACATTAAAAAGATCCAATTGTAAATGGCAGCTTAACACTTTAAAGTCCAATTATCAAACTGTAGTCAAAAATTAAAAAAAAAAAAAAAATTAAAAAAGGCCAACCTAAAGCTTTGCATTGGAAAGCTTGTGTGCAGGAGACGTGCAGATTCTGGTCTGCTCAGGACTGTGTCTGCGTTGGCCTTTACTGTATGCCTTACTATTTGTAGCTGTTTACAACTGAAATTAATACTGAATACTGATTCAGCTACTTAAACGTTTCTCACTTCTTAAATTGCAGTGATGTGTGGTCGTTTTTCACTTTCGCAGTGAAAGTGTTATTGAAACGATGTTATACTGTTACTGAAATAGGTCAAGCCTTGGAAATTAATGAAGTCTCTTTTAACACAATGTCCCATGAAAAATTAAAAGCCATTGAAAAGAATTATTTTTTTTAATCCTCTTATTGGGACTTTTTTTCCCCAAACGTAATTATTCATTGAGTCTATTTCTGCACATTGGTAGTGTTTTCATCTGGTTTGTTCTTTCTTCTGTGCATGTTTATGCTCTGTTTACTTTTCTTCAAAACATCCCCTCTGGCTGGAAAGGTGAATTTTCCATGTTAACTTCTAATAAAGGAGGAAAATACAGGGAACTTCGTGTAGCTACAGGTGGGTGCGAAACATTGTATATAGCTCATTGGATTTTTAAATTCACGCTTACTTTTGGCAACGAATTATTTTAAAGTACATTGAGAGCCACTTGTATGTTAACTGGAAGAGTATGTGCTGATGTTGTCTTGTTTTTTGACTTTGGTAGATTCCTGCTCGGGTAACTACCAGTGTTCTCCAGTCTGCTGTGCACCGATGAAAATTATTTTGCCGTGGAGGGCAGATAATGCATGGCTGATCTCCTATGTTACCAATGGCTTTACTAGCAAAAATACCCTAAACTAGAGCGGAAACATTACAATTGCAGTTCTCCATGTGACTTAAAAAGCACTTGGAGCAACATGGACAGACTCCAGCAGCTGCCATTACAGGACGCTTTTGCCAGAAACCCAATGACCTTAAGAGAACCCTGTGGTAACAGGGCTGGAAAAGAAAGATGGTTTACAGAGTTGACCGCCTGTTATCGGATGGCCATTTCAGTTTTCCTTCCACAGGCGGCAGACTTTACCCCCTTTTTATTATTCTACTGTAACTATAAATCTTTTACTTGGTTTAAGAAAGTTTTTTGTATCATTTTGCTAAAATTATTGGCTTAATTCTCTGTAAAGAACTCTTGCTTTTGTCTGATTTAAAAATGTAGAATATAAACAAACCTAAACTAAAGACAATGACTTGAAATTTCTTGTTTAAAAAAATCAGTCTGGCAGGGAACATGTAAATGAATCAAAACCATCTGACTTTATTTAAACTGTTTACTGATTTGTATGGTCCTATTCTGACTGAGACGGTTTTCTCATGAAAATTTTAAAACTGTTAGAATTTTACTTTGCTGTTTGCTGTCTTCATTCACACTTAACATTTGACTTTCCGCACAATTCCACAAAGGAATTTTTAAGACTCGTGTTCTTTTTCGTAAAAGAGGAGAACTAAATATCCTGCAGGAGAGTCTAAGTATAGTAGAGATGATGATAATGAATTTCTTTTTTTGTAAAGAATATGAAGGACAAAGTGAAAGACTCTGGCATTTGAGGGATTTACAATTTGAAAGCTTGTCCTGTCTCCCTGCTTAGTTTGGGTAAATGGATATTTTCAAACATAGTTTTTATTGGTAAAATCTTGTTTCCTGCACTCTGAGGCTGGTTAGCTTGGAGGGTATTGCAAGTAGAAAATACACGTTGCTACTGAGTTTTCAGTGAATTTGCATGTTTCATTCAGCATCTATGTTTTTCTAAATAAATACATAAATTGATTCAGGCCTTCTGTTTCGTGCCAAGACTCAAAAAAGGAATTATTTAAAAACAGACCAACAACGGACAACCTATTCTTGCTGTGAAATCCTGAGAATTGTTACCATTCGGGTGCATACCATATTTAATTCTTAACTGCATTCGACCTGAGTATGCCCAGAATCGTTAGCTAGAAATGAATGATTCAACATGCTTAGGTTGTCCAAAAAACTGTTGCAGGTGTTGTTATCACCTGTTGGTTATGGAATATGGAAGATTCTTCATGTTGTTTGTTACTGTAAACAGTCTCATAAAATAAAAATAGGTATTCTGTCCTCACAGTACTTGGAACAGTATCAGAAGTACTGTTTATACTAGTATGACTGAAGTAATGGGAAGTTTCATGTTGGAAATGAAAGTATATACAGAGATTTTGTTTGAACAGTTAGGTATTTTCAGAAATTCTTCCCTGCTCGAAAACAAAATTTTTTAAAGGCCTATTGGTCTTCAAAGTTTTATGAAGAGTAATTTTTATTGTTTTGGTGTTTACAAATTCTTTTTTGCCCGTCTCAAAAGTCCACGTATTAAATATTAGTCACTCTTCTTTGGATGTTTTCAGAACATTAGCTACTTGTGTGTACTCTGGGTCTGACTGGGGAAACCTGTGTTTGGGGAAGAGTATAGTGGAAAAGCTAAAGAGTTTGATCCATGGATAAGTTTGCATAAGAGAATTATTTCCTCAGTTACTGTAAACTTCAGTATTTTAGGCATGTGCACTACCATTTGAACAGTTTTACACTTCACTGTGCTTTCCTTGTAAATATCTGTGGTTAATAATGTACTGTTAGAGGGACTTACAAAGGCAGCCTCTTTATTCTCTCTGTATCTGGAACATTAGATTGCTGTACTATACTTAAAAGTTGACTGCAGACTTCTAGAATTGTACTCACTTGTGGGCAATTTTTGTCCGTCATAATAGTTAAATACCATCATGCGGAAAATAGTTAGACTGTCTATATAAACCTGTGTATCAGAAACCAGTATCTCAGAGCACTTCATTTGTACTACCACTGTATTTGTGTACTTTAACAATTGTGTAAATACATTCATAATAACTTCTATTCTTCTTTGGTGTAACTTACTTACAATGAATCCTTACTCTTTACTTGGGACAACTACTTCTGTTGTTTTTTGTTGTGTTTTTTTTTCCTTTTCTTTAAGGGGTTTCTGTACCTACAAAGAGCATTGTCAGTTGCAAACATTTGAAGACGTTGTTGTGGTACTAAAACTTTCACTGAACAATTTTAGTAGTCGTGATCAGAACGCAGCAGCTAGGGTATACAGGAAGAAAGAGAACGCATTCATTGCTTTGCTTACAGAAAGAAAGCATGTCTTTTGTCTCTTTAAAGGTGAATGTTTTTGTTTGGATGTTGCTTCTTTTCCAGAAGTCTTTTTTACAAACACTTTCTCTTATCAAGTAATACATTGGGTTGATAGGAAGTATGGGAAGAGAATTGCTATTGAGACTTGATCAGTTATGGGAGCTAGGTTAAAAGCAAGAAAAATATTGAGCTCTACCCACAATGCTCTGTATAAAAGTCTATTCATAATCTGAGGGCAAATCCACCTTCAAGAATCCTCCATGTGTCTGACTAGCAGGCCTTTAAAAGTTGGAAGGATATTTAATTTATCCTCACGGTTTTCATTTAGAACTGGCTGTGTGTTTCTATGTGGAAAATACCACCTGTGCTGCTGTTTTACATAATCTTGATGGTTACAGAGTCCCTGAATTCTTTGTGGTACAAGTACCTTGAAAACAATTGAAAATAAATCCTACGCTTCAAGACGGATATTGAGTAAAAGCATTTAAGGAGTTCATATATTCCATGTTAACTTCATGAAAGTACTCAAAATCTCCCTTGGAGGAAGGCAGGTAGAACTCGGAGGCATCTCATCCTTCATTCTCCAGTGGGGAAAAATACCATAAGCACAACTATTTGTTGTCTTCGTTTCCCCACATTCCAGTCCTCTGAGTGGCAGCTCCTCCATAAAATCTGGCAAAGGCAACACTTTCAGAAATTTAATTTCCCGACAAGAATCTTTACAATGAATTTACACATTTCTAAGTAGATCATTGGCTAGAATGTACATGTTCATTTCAAGAATATTTCTTTTCTCTTTGTAAAATAATGAAATAAAAAGTTACTTATTTTGTTCTTTAACTTTTGCTTTACAAAAGCAGCGCTTCATATGTACAAAATACTAAGTGAAACCAAACAATGCTGCTGGTTTTTTTTAATAGTGCCGAGCCATCTGGGAAGAAATCTAGATTTAATCCAGTTGTGAGGAAGGGTAATCCACCATGAACTTAATCCTACAGCAAAGTAGCTTCTAAGACTCACTGGCTGAGACAGGTTAATAATAAAAAGGTTTTGCTGTTAAAGAATGCATTTCATTATTAAAAACGGTACACTTCCCTCTGGTTCATTCAGGTGACAATTACTGGCATTACCTGTATATGTCTAGATTTAAGTGATTGTATGAAACTGAATTGTATGGACCTTTTGCATTGTTCAGTAGTTTTGTACCAGGAGAGTGCTCAGAGGCCTGATCTTCAGTAAGAATCTGTTTTGCAGCAAAATCCTACTAACTTTATCAGCAAATATTTGCAGAGGAGTAACACTTTATGAATTTTTCTCACATATTGGCGGGTTTTTCCTGCTTAATCTTATTAAGACTAGTATGCTTCGGTTCTCTTGACAAAACCATTGCGTGCTGCAGGCGGAGGGACAACAGAAAATTAGATGAGAGCTGAATATACACGATCTACAAAAATACACAGTCTACAAAAAAAAAATTATCTTTTTTTTAAGATAGCTTTCTTTGTTAATATCATTTTGGGAAAAATCTTGACTCAAAATGCATAGATCTAGGTCTGAGAAATGTAAGCGTAATGGACAAACAGGAATGTGGGAAAAGGGAAAATTGCGTCTATCATCCTACAACATTAAGCCCAGTCTATTAAGCCTTTGCTGTGACCAGTTCATTTGGCATGTTATGCACTAGGAAGAAAATGTCTAGTCCTGATCTCATAACCAGACAAAACAGTTTAATTACAGTCCTCAGCTTTGGTTCAGAGCTGCAGGCATTACAGGCACAAAGGCAATGCGATGCTTCTGGTAGGGAAAGGATAAACTAGTGATTCGCAGTATTTTGAGGTCACGTGCAGATTTTTTTCTTAAAGACCCCAAGCAGCAAATGTTTCTCTGCTCTCACTGCTAAGAAATTGTATTTTAAGTTTGTCCGACATTGTCGACCACTGGATCTTAGGCCACATTTGTCAGCAAGACTGAAAAGTCTTTTGCTGTTTAAGAACTTTAAATACTAAAATCTAGATATGCTTCTTCATTGGATTCAGAGTTTTCCAGTGAAAGGCTTTGAACTGCTTGAAACAGTAGCAGATGAAGAGTCAGAAGAGCAAGAGCTATCCTCATTTCTTACTGCTCTGAAGCATTCATCTAGGGATAGTGAGGAAAGTTGCCAGCTGGAATGTTGCTGAGATTACGAAGCAAGTATTGAGATCAGTCAAGGAACAAACAGCGTATAACTAGAGGTAAGTAGCTTTTTACTCTATCTGCCTCTAACTTTCCATACTTTGTCAGACAAATGCAGGACTGCTGATCTCACAGAGAGTGAGATTCTTTCAAGAGCCCTGACTTTTACTGTGGATGTGCACAAAGATGAACTATATTCCCGAAGCGCTGAGAAGGATGCTAAAAGAATATATTCCTAAGCAGTTGCTTCTTACATGCAGTGCCTCCGCCATTGTCAAAGTTGTTTTCTCTTCACATATCGGTGCATCGGTCGCCTTCCTTCAACAGGTCCGGCAGCAGGGAACAGCAGCTGTGCAACTTAGGTCATGCCCGTTTTCATCCACAGAGAATGGCCTGACTCCTTTCTTTCAGACTTGGAGAGTACCAGAGGCAAAGATAAACTCTGGCTTTCTGTCACAAGGATGTGCTAACCGCGTGCTAATAAATTCTGCCATTTCAGTCCACCCGGTAACGTTCATTCCTGTAGCAGCATATCACTTGATCTGGCCAGCAGGGTAGCAAAGCATTTGATTACCTCTTAAGTCTTACCAATCTAACCAAACCAGCATAAAAAAGGTAATCATACATTTATTCAAACATAGGGTTTTCTGTAAACTAGACCTACAATCTTTTCAGTGTAAATATAGAGAAACTTTTGAAGCTGAGCTTGGAGAGATTTCTCCAAAATACCTCAGCAGAGAGAATTAGGCACAAAGAGGAGTGAGCCGTCTACAGAGCAAAATGTAGCTCTTGTTACGTTGAAGAGACTCTAATTTTGATTCACTTGCATGTAGCCTTGATATTGTACCTTGAAGAGCCAATCTTAGCTGGGCTACCGTAGGATCCAAAAAAACTCACCGTAAACTATGTTATCGTAGGAGCTTTCAGGTTTCAAGAATATCACTTGATGATAAAGATGGCTCGCTGGCAGGTCGGTACTCAAAATATTTAGGGCTTTATAAATCATAGCAGTTGATAAAACTTTACCTGCACACAAAACCTGGAAGGCTCTTCAGAGGACAAGAACAGTAATTTCTACATGGAGCACCACAAAATTAATAACTATTATTTTAAACTAGTTGATGCTTTAAAATAGTCTTCAGGATCATTTACAGCAGGAGCCCATTTCCATTTCTGAACTGGCCAAACATGAGTCATGGCAAAATCAGTCCCCTTGCCCACATTAAATTCTGGCTGCCTGTCAGTTTGGCGTCACCTCTTAATTTCTTCTCTGTAAGAACTCTGCTTCTCTATAGCTACTTAAGCATGTGCAAATGAAGCCAAATTTCAAAATCTGGGTGTTAAAAGTTATTTTTTCTAGGCTTATTTTCTCAAACCCACCATTTTTGCCAACCACATAAATATTTATTCGCTACATTTGCAACAGTTTACTAGAAAAGCATTAAAAAAAAAATCTAAGTATAAATGGACACATTACATTAAAGTGGATTAACAAGAAACAAAAAAGTCATCTCACTTGCACAAAACTGAAATGTACTCCCATAATCCTAAAGACAAGTGTGGCAGAGAGACACAGACACACATACACAAGTTAGTACTTACCGCTGTAACATGTAAGAGTTTGTGTTCTCCTGAAAGCCACCTATTTATGACTGCCTACCAACCTGAACCTTTTCTTTTGGATGTAACAAAGGTGAATAGGTGGATTTTCGTTTTGAAGTTTGATTGCTTGGTTAGGGGAGTGTTTTCATTTCTTTTTAGAGAATGATTTTGCATTGTCTAATACACGTTTGTTTGGATGGGATTTAGTATTAGCAAGCGCAAGATCTGTCGAGTCCTTCACACCATACCTTTGTACCATCTGAAGTCTCAACTTTAGGGAATTAGCTGCTTTAGCAGCAGATACTGCTCAAGATTTGCAGTAATGTATTTTAAGGACTGGAGAAAAATAACATCTGGAGATTGTGATTTTAAACAGACAGCTGCATCACTTTAAGATTTTTAGTTCTGCTGAGATGATCTAGGCTCCAAATAGCTACCAGATATTTCATTTAGAAATTGTAAAAAAGCAAACTTATATTTGTATAGGAGGAGGAAGAAAATAGTTTTAACTCTGCATTGCTCATTGTCTACTAAACAGGCAAACTGTCTCTGTTCTACTCTACTGGGTATTTTGCATGTTTGATATATAGAGATTGATATACATATATATATAAAAATAGATATATGCACACATATACACCTCTTTATATATTCTCTGCATGTTATGAGCATTTATACACACAGTCTCTCTTTGCATTAGGAGATTAAGGGCTTAAGATCCATTACATGATCAAACGTACTATATTCTAACCATAAATCCTATAGTACACAATTCATAGAATGTACAAAGATCTAAAAAGCTAAAAATTATGCTAGCCTGTACAGTAAAAGACCGTTCATTAGTTTCAGAGAAATAATCTATGAAAACTATTTAAACTGTTTTATAGTATTATACTTGGATTTTTTGCACTTGTGTTTTTTGTTTGTTTCCCTCACAGACTTCTTAAATAGATTCATGAACTATGTGTCTAAAGAAATTACATTTGTTCTAATAGTCTGTGATGCAAATTGTAATGTTGTCTTTGGGATGCTTGGCAATTCAATCGTATAATTACCTGCCTTCCCCTTCCCCTTTTTCTTCCCTTTTCTTTTTTCAAATCACAGAATTTTGACCAGGTGAGGGTTGAATGGAAGTTCATCCAGGTAGATGTTGCATGGAACTGTTCTGCTTGTGACCCTGGGCAGTTAGTGTCCCTTTAGCAATGCTTTGTGACTCCGACCACGCGCATCCTCAAAATACATGAAAGAACAGATCTCACAAACTGCTCTTAAGGGGATCTCAGTGGTGTTGACATTAAAGAAATACTGTACCAAAATATCCAGAGGGGTTTAAAAGCAATTCCTTGTGAATTTACAATAAGCAGAATTAAATTAACAAGGAGCCAGGCTAGTCTTGCCAAGGAAAGGGTTCCAATACAATCCTCTCCTCCTATATCTAACAGTTCATAGCTGGTGTTCTAAGACAGCTCTGAGAACCTAATGACTTGCTGCTTGCCTTTTTTTTTTTCCTTTTTCTTTTTTTCTTTTTCTAACATCTTGGGGTAGGAAGGCGGGAGGTCTATAAAACAGGAACTCAATGTATAGGCCTTTGTGGCCATGTCCGTAGGAGCAGTTGGGTACATGCCTCAGCACAGCCTGGCGTGGTGGCCCACAGTTGTCCAGGCTAAGGATCTAGCACGCATGGAGGTTTTCTTCCCATCGGTATAGTCAATCTCTTTCCAAGGAAATATAGGTAGCTGAAGGGAACGAGGACTGGAGGGCTAGCACACTCTGGTGTGTCACCCCTGAATGAGACAGAATGGAAGCAGGGAGTTTAACTGGCTCCAGAACTCAGAAGTACTCTCCAGCCTGCCAGTTTTGATGTTCTTAAGAGATCTGCGTTAGGCGTTTCTCATCTCTGTGTTGATGCTTCTTGTAAATAATGAAAACAGTAAAAGATTTTATAGCGTGTATGAAACTGCTTAGCAAAGTAAATTCCAACCCTTGTGTCTCACAGGCAGTAAGAGTCCTGCGATTTGACCTCTCTCATGCAGTAAGCATCTCCTGCTCTCACGAGTACTGCAATCCATTGGTAGGTCTGTGCTGAAAATAGCACAAGAGCACTGGCAGTCCTACTCAAGAGTAGCTCATCTTTGAGTCGAGGAAAAGATCTTGTATAGGCCAACGAGGCACTTTCTGTGAACACTAGATTTACTTTAGAAATTGTGTCTTGTTGAAATGTGTTTCCCTTGTCTTAGTAACTTCCTCTTCTGCCCCAAGTCATATAAAATTGTTAACATAACGCTTCTTGTTTCCAGCTTAACTATAAAGGTATCATGTATGGAAAATGAATCATGGTCTGGAAAGTCAGTATGATAAGCCCAAATTTTTGAAATGTTAGTCTAGACAATTTGCAGAACGTATGGAACCTTAAAATTGTGCCAATAATCTCAAGTCAAAGGAGTAAACATTTAGTGCTGTGATAACAGTATAGTGTTATCTAGCAAAGAAATCTGCTGATCAAAACCCACAGTAAGAGAAAAATGGCTATTTGAGAATCTGAATTCACCTTGGGGAAAGTTTATAGTTTTGTCTTTTTGAAACAGAACAGGGAACTCCAGTCTGAAAGCTATATCTGGCCTTCACGTGTCATCTGAAGCAGCCTCCAGGGATATCATAAACTGATCTACGGATTCCATTTTCCTCGTGCCCTTTCATATGGCAGCCTTCTGGAGCTAGCAGTGTTGTGTTCCAAGTACTGATTTAGTCTTTAGCAAACTGGAGCTAAGTTCGGTTACTAAGTTCTTACAACTAGGACATGCCAGCACAATTCCCGCCACTAAATTAATAAAAGGTTTTAACGTAACGCACTATATGCGATATGAAGTTTATTCAGTGCAGCATCCATTTCAGTTTTAAACCACTCAAAAAAACCATCATGATCCTAACGTTTCAATTTCTGTGCAAGGTTGTCCTAACAATGCAAAACCATTTTGAAGGAACTACCAGAATGGAAGCTGGTATCTGAGACAGTTCCATTAGAGAATGGTTCATGGTTTTGGCACTTTGTGGGATTTACTGTATGTTTCTGTTAAAATGGTCGAGTATGAAACAACTAATGATAATTGTTTTTAAAAAGGATACAGGGTTTTAAGGGGTTAGGGTCTTTTAGTTTTCAGTTATTAAGCAGAACAATTTTGGCACCTGAAAGCCAATATTCCTTTGCTACGGACAAGAAAACTGAGTCTGTTAAAATTAGTCTGTTTTGAAGATTCTGTTTTGAAGATTGCTACTGCAGTCACAAAGCCTAGAGAGCTTTTTATAAACATCTGAAAGGTGGGTTGCAATAGCATGATTTTGTATAGATTACATTTCTTGAATGTGTTTGAGTGAAAAAAAGAAATATAGAATGCCTTCCTTTTACCTTCCTTTTCTATTCAGTGTCCTCACAATGAGTCTTTTTCCTTTCTGCCTTTTTTTCAAATGTGCTGTCACTGCCTTGTCTGATCTATTTCTTTTCCTTCCCTCATACCAACGTCAGAGAAGATATAAAGACTGGCTGGAGACTTCCCGTTCTGTTTGTGCGATGAGTAGCACAGCCGACCCCATTCTTGATTGGTCCTTATGCATTGCTGTCATAAATATGATCATGTTTCCTCAAACAGCAAGAACGGCACGTCGGACTTCCATAGATTAAGCAAAAGGATAGGCAAGTGGGGTAAATGAGGGGAGGGGGGAAGTTAAGACCTTCCTGTGTGGCTAACATTGCATTTTAAAGACGGCTAAGGTTTCAAAATAGTCCAGTCCCTTCCCTAAGTCTACCTGCTCTAATTTATAGGTCATCTGGAAACTTACACTGTTTCTTTTACGTACAAAATGGACACTGTTTCAGAAGATTCCACCAAACCTAATATCCATCTCCTCCATGTTACTTGTAGTATTTTCCAATGCTGCAGGGAAACTGTACTGAAAACAGAGTGTGTAAATGGTAAACGTAGGCTAACTTTGTTTGCTTATGGTCTGTCAGGATCAATTCTGATCATTTTATTTGCTTTTAGTACTACCTCGGAATACCACTTGTGTGATCTGCTGAGGACAGTATCTGTAATGTGCCTTTCCACATACAGTTTTTCCAAATGATAATTACAAAGATTACAGGTTTAGACAAAACTCAGAAAATCAAAGTAACAGATCTTATAAAAATTAATTTAGGGCTGAGCCAATGAATCTAAAAAATCTAAAAAAAGTAAGAAATTCAAAAACCTAACGGAGACCTTTAAGTTCCTGAGATTTTTCTTCATCTCAAACTCTTTCCCCTTCACAGAGAACACAGAAAGGGAAATGATGTTTAGCCGCGCAACACAGTGATTTCAACAATATTGTCTGAAAACATACATATAATTCCACTTTTCTTAAAATATACGCTTCCTACATCTCTTCCAAGTGAGCAGTTTCTGGTGATGCATAGCAAGACTTTACTTGTGTTTATAAAAGCTTTTCACTTCACATAAAAAGTATAACCACAACGCCTCACCTTTCACTGATAAAGCTAATTTTCCAATAAAAGGTTGTCTAGCTAATCAGCTTCCAGAGAGAACTGATGAGCTGACCGGCCTCCAGGTAATAAAGCAGATGGCCCAGCCCTAAACTAGTTCTATTTCTAAAATAAATAGTGTTGAAAATCTTTCTTTTCTAAATGCTCTGTCAATTTCCTGTCGTGCTCACACACAAGTTTCTGGGTTAGTTACAACTTCACCATTTTTTTCAGGCTCATCTTTCAGAAACTGCTCCACTTCAATAGAGTCCACCTTGGCATCTTCAGGAGTTTTGTCTTCAGATTTGTTTAATTCCTCTCTTTCTGCTGCTTCTTCTTTTGTATGTGGTTCTTCTGATTTTTTCTTAATGCAGAAGAAATTTCCCAAGGCCAATACAAGTGCTGAGGTGGTAACTTCAATTCCAGCAATAATAAAAACAAACATGTACCTCCCTGTTGCATCCAAGAGTTTTCCTGAAAAAAACAACATTCCAGATAATAACAAAAGTTATTATCTTGCAATGAAATTTTTTCTGCTTTTTTAAATGTTTAAATGACTCCTGTCTAGAAGTACTATGACGATCTAAGCAAGTTTTTTGAAGTAGCATTTTAACAAGTTTATAACAAAATATTTCTCAAATATTTCAATTCAGTTTAACGTTCACTGACGTTACGTCACATCTCGAAACATACACAGTGATGTAATTCAACTGGAATAAAACCAGCGTAGCCTTCATATGCAAGAGATGAGATAAGTGGCATGTATTTCACATCAAAACGTGTGCATTCATGGCCGGGATCTGTATCATCAGCTTCCTCTCGCTCCCAATCTCATTTCCTTTCCTACACGGGCAGTATGCTGTCTGCTTAAAATGCAAATCTTATTTAATAGTCAATTTGGAGTAACTGACTGATGCTTTAGTCAAGTCAAATTTTCACAGGACTTGGCAGAGGTGAAAGAACAGGAGGGAGGATGTGAAGGAAGTGCCTCCCCAAACCCGAAGATCAGAGGAAGTAGTGCATAGTACTGTTTGGTTTTTTTCCACGAGGGGTTCTGTCACACTAAAGATCCTTGATGCTTTTTAGTGTCTGAATATAAACAGTAAAAATTTTATGGCAGTGAACTGGTGGGTTTAGTTGGGGTTGTTTTTTCAGTTAAGGCTCTGTAAAATTTATGTTCTTTGATTAGTAATTGATTTGCAATTTCGAATTCAAATTAATGAATTTGAATATTTTGTAATGTCCCCTTATTCTTGGTTTGAAAGACATGTGCAATAGAAGCAGTCTACCTTCCTTAAAAGTCCAGTTTTATAGTCTTCCTTGTAAGATTTTGTTTTTTCCTCCTTCTTCTGATGTTTTTTTTTTTCCTCCTCCAAATCTACCATAGGTATGGAAAAATCTATCCTAGTACTTTCCAAAGAAAATTGACAGGTTTCATATTCTGAATCCCAACTCCAAAGAGGTCTGAACTTCACAAAAGTTATTCACTGTGTACGTAAAATTCATCTTATACAGTATTAGCCATCTACTAACAACAGGTCCAGTATAGGCTTTCAGTGGAGAAAGAGCAGCATCTCCAGATGGCAATTCAACCAAACCTGAAATAGATCCAAGAAGGAAAAGATTTCATCCCACTCTGTTTTGGACTATTTCAGATGGTAACTGCAAGAAGTCATCGAAGCACGTGCCAACGCTAGCACAATATGCACTTCTCGAGTGACTCATGTTGTCTTTTTCTCTGCTCCTTTATCATACAATTTGTGTAAATGGATGCAATGCAAATGATTTGTAATTGTGAACTAAATGGAATACTTACCCGCTGATGGTGGACCAATTAGAACAGCCATAGCTTCTGCCAGGAGCACTAAACCGATAGCACTGGAAAACTTCTGAGTACCAACAATAGCCATGAGAACTTCAAACTGAAGAGCACCTACCATTCCATAAGAAATGCCAAAGAAAATGCAAAAGACCACCAGGCCACCATAATCAACAGACATAGAACCCATGAGATCTGTAAAGCCATTGAAAATCATTGCAAAACTGAAGAGGTAGACACAGCGTGGTCTAACCCATTTAAGACCAGCTACCATTCCGCAAATAGGCCGAGCAAAGATATCAATGAATCCCAGAATAGTCAGAAGAAAAGCTGCTTTGGTGTCTTGATACCCTAAATCCTTGGCATAACTCACAACGAAAACTGGAGGAACAAAGAGGCCAAGCACCATGATAGATGCTGCTAGCGTGTAGATTACAAAACCACCATCTTTAAACACGCTAAAATCCAGAAGTTTTTTCTTCACTTTCTTCTCAGCCGGTTCTTTGGCAGCTTCAGACTTTTTGGGTGGCTCCAAAGGCCTCATTAATGCTCCACATACACAGCAGTTGAGCAGCATCCCACCTAGTATAAGGAATCCTCCTCTCCAACCGTACTCGTGTTGTAGTATCTGCCCCAGTGGTGAGAGAGCACAAAGAAACACCGGACTCCCAGCAGCGGATAGCCCATTGGCTAAGGGCCGGCGTTTGTCAAAATAACGGTTTAACATGATGAGTGAAGGCTGAAAGTTTAGTGCCAGACCCAAACCTGTAACAGAGGGTATATAAAAATTAATACTGGTCTACAACATCAGTATTAAAAAAAATTCTAATTGCAGTTTTTCTGATTCATGACTCAAATGATTTTTATTTCAAATGGACAAAAGATTTCTAAGATAACATTTTTAAAAGCATTCCACCTCCATAATATTCTTGTACTCTATGGTTACGCTTCACTGATTACAGCAGTGGCTATTAAACATGCCAGAAAAATTAACATTCATTAAAAAAAAAAAAAAGTTTAATTCCACATTCATCTGGCATCTTTATAAAAGCCCATTTGATTTGGATATTTGTCACTTAAACAAAACTTCAACCTAAAGCTAAGTAGCTAACTGATTTTCAACCATGCACACTACTTACCAGTAATCACACCTGCAGTTAGATAGATCTGAACAATGCTTGTGCAGAAGGAGGCTATCACCATCCCCATTGAGGCAAAAAGGCCACCCACCAGCATGACAGGGCGACAGCCAAAGCGATTGACACACACGCTACAGAGTGGACCTAGGCAAGAAGAGCAAGTTACAGTTGCTAAGATAAACCAATTTTTGCAGTTGATTTTATGTCAGTTTGCATTTTTTTTCTTTGGTGGACTTGGCAGTGTTAGGTTTACACTTGGAGTCGATGATCTTAAAGGTCTTTTCCAATGCAAATGATTCCATGATTCTTTCCATACTTTGTCCATACTGTCAGGCCAATCCGGAAGAGTGCTCTGTCCTCTACAGTCAAATACTTAATCTTTTTCGTCTTCAGAGTGCCATGCAATTTTTCTTTTCCATTGTCTTTAACTAACTCTATTGAGTTCTAGAGATTTAATTTTATATGCAAGCTGGATGTGCTTAAATAACTTTTGGATTTACGTGATTAATAGTTATTCTTCTTTGGAATGCCTTACTTGTGCACAAGTAATGATATGCAATCATGATTCATGCTGTAAATGGCCATATGGTTTACAAACATCACTGTATGTTTGTATGATGCAATACTGTTTCAGAAACAGAGAACTACCTACCTGTTCCATAAAGCATGGCCAACAGAATGGAGGAAATCCACGCAGTGTCACTATATCCAACGCCAAATTCCCGGATAAGTTCTTTAAAGAAGACACTAACTGCCTTAGGAAAGGCATAGGAGAATCCCGTGATGATAAAACAGCCAAAAAGGACAGCCCAGCCCCAGCCTCCATCAGGGGCTTTAACACCAGATGGACCATCATCAGCTACCACAGCTCCCATGACGAAGCTCAAGAGTGTTCCCTAAGAAACAAAAAGTAATTACAAGTCTATTCACATTGGGACAATTATCTAACCAAAAATTGGCAGAAAATGCACTACAGTGACAGTTTCAAATAAGATACGGGACTATTTTAAATACAAATCTTGAAGATGCAGTGCAATTTTAGCTATTCCTTGTTCAGGTTTAGTCCTTACAAAGCTTGCAAAAAATACGTACAAATGAGATGCACATAGCTGAGTTTTAAATGAACGCCCCTCCCCCCCCCCCAGCTCTCTCAAAGTCAAAACTGTATTTCAACCAAATCACTGTTTCATAGAGAAACCGAAGCCATTACAGCAGTTCAGGGGTGTTTTTGACTTTCACAAATACGTAATAACTACTGCATTAAAGTCTGCAGGATTTTTGTTACAAGACCTTGTTATATGAAGCTCCTGGACTATTCACTTAGGAGACCTGGATGCAAAATCCTGGTGCCTCACAAGTATTCTGTGCATCAGTGGACAAATCACCCAGGCTTTTTGTTCCCTACTGAGGACAGCAATACAGCCCTGATGCACCAATATCTTGAAAAGATAGACAGATCCCTTTGAGCTTCTGATGAGCTATCAGTTTTCACACATCAGGTAAGTACCAAAGCTGAACTGCAATGAAAGTCTGCCTGAAGCAAATACTTTCCATTGTTGTTGTTATTACATTATCAGTACATTTTTTTAAATATTGAATTTTATCGTTCACATTTTCCATATGCAGCCACATGCGCCTTTGCATCTAAAAAATAAAATCTTTTCTCATGAGAATGTTATGTCCCAAAAGTAATGCTGCGAAGTTTTAAAACAGAGAGAGAGGGGAAGGAAAAAAAGACACTGAAAAGGTAGATAAAGTGTCCCTGTGCGTGAAGAGTACAGGGAGGTATTGCATCACAGCAATTAGGCTTTTGGAGGGTCTGCATATTATAGAAGTCTTGAACAATGTTAAAAAGTGACCCTCAAACAAGTTCTACGTTAAATCTTACATGTACAAAAATTGACCATTTCTTTAAAATGCAATTCATTACTCCCGTTGGGTCAATGTTTCTCTACGACAGTACCTAAGAGGAATGCAAGCACAGTTGCTTACACATCAGAGATGATGTTCATCACTATAGAATGCTGCTGCTTTCAGAAGTATAGATCTGCATAGTGATTGTTGTGCATTGGGAATTATGTAGTTCTTACAGCTCCATTTCGGAACCAGACTATGTATGGCACAACAATCTAGTTGATGCAGACTTGTCTAGACAACTGACACCGAATGCGTGATTGCTAATAGGCCTGTATGAACATACTTAGTATGGCACTGAGACCAGCACTCCCACTTCTTAGAAGAAACAAGTTTATATACATGATGCAGAAATGAACTTGGCCACGACTGTATCTGTTCAAGAAGGACAGTAAGCCTCCTCCTGCTGGCTTCACCTCCTGTTTTCTGGAAATCAAATTTAAACAGAAGACAATTTGTCTTAAGTCCGTACAACTAGAACGTAAAATGGTGAAACAGAATACCTCAATAAAACTAGAGGTCTAGGTGCCTGCTGCTACAGATGGGTGATTCGCCGATTGCTGTCAGACTGCAAAAACACATGGCTTGTTCAACGGGGCAATTTCTGCACCAGGCTTTGGGCCCCTAAATGAGTCTTAAGATGCATCTCTGCCAACCCTCCTGACGCTAGGATATGCCAACTGTTTCTCCCAGTAACTTCTGTATGATACAAAGTATGAAGCATTCTTCAAAAAAGGATTTTTTAATATTTTTTTTTTTAAGCAATAACGAGACAGCACAGAGTAGGTGCACAAAGTGTAATCCTTCATGGCACTGGTAGCTCTGTAATATTAATGGTATCAGGGAAAGCGCCGATTCAAGTATCTCAGCTCAAGTGTGTAAAGAACAGGAGTAAGATGTAAAAACCGAAGCGGAGCCCAGGGGGCAGGATGAATTGTCACTTCCGCTACTTCCAAATTGTCAGCCAGAACATTTCATTTGGAGTGAATGTTTAAAATGTCGGAGGAAGGGTTGTGTAATTTTTATTCTTTTATTAACCATCCAGTGGCAACACAAAGTAATAATACGCGAGCATCTTTTATTGAAAAATAGTGATCGGCAGTTTCTCCAGACTGCTTACACAGTGCTGGATAAGAATATTCAGCCCTTGGAAGAAACGGGTCATGGCGTTCACCTCCACGCTTCTTCCCGCACGCAGGTGTGGACAGTCTCCGTTACTGGGTCTACGGCAAAGATGCTGTAAGGGCAGCCATCTGTGCAGACCTGCAGTGCTGGACCCTGCCTGTAAACTACATCCTAGCCATCTAAAGCACCAGGTGGCTTTTGAGGCGAGCCACCGTTAAACACTACTTGGCAGCACGCTTGTGACTGCCAGACAAGAACCGTCCAAGCTTCGCCGAGTGCCTCCAGGGGGGCGGGAAGTTAAC